GATCTTAGAATTAGCTCTCGTTTAATCATAAAGCTTGTGTAGATGTAAATTATAATATCTGAAGGATTCGGAAATTGTAATCTGACATCAGAACGAAGGGACGGGGAAGTGTGACATCAATACAGACGTATAATCATCGATAAGACTAAATCCTGATGTGCAAGGATCGGTGATTCGTCGAAGCGACGATAATTCAGGCCTATCTACTAGCGTCTCTAATTTCCTTGATATTCATGTCGAAGGGTCCTTACGGTCGAGGAGCCTAAGGATGCCGCAAATACCTATGTGAAGGCAGAACCGCTTTCCATGACAGGCCTGCAGGATGGAGTTGTATTAATTTCATATCCCTTCCGCCGGGCAACGCGAACGACTGCGTTCAATCGTCTATTTATTGCCGACATATCCAATCTCGTACCGTCTCCTCCGCGCCGCGCCGCGGTATCGCCTAGATGCGGAGGAGTGGCAACTGGCTATTAATTTTGATTAGTCTCTTCTAAGGATCCTTGATTGGAACCAGGATTGCAACCCACACCTGTATCAGCGCGTGTATTTACGTACCGCACAAGAAAATGCTTGAATTACTCGCTCGACAGCTTACGGTGATGACCAATTACCTGATCTGTCTGATTGAAAGAGAGAGGTTCTTGCACGTATTCGATAAAAATGCTATCTATAGATTCTAAAAAAAAAGCCACTTGCATTCATGGTAAACTTTGTACACGATTTTTTCGATTAACCAAGGCTGTATATTAAGTTTTGCGAATCATGACGTGTTGAAGCACAATAATTGGCAACTTGTTACGTGATCAGAAATTTAATCGCGTTCAATCCGATAACGCAATATAAATGTAAATGTTTATGGGGACCCTAAATGCAGAGTGTAGTAAATGGTAGGTTTACGACCACGGCACTTTACAAGTGCTCACGAAGTCACTTGATTCATAGGGTAATTTATGTTTCTCACGGTTTGCATTTTAAGTGATGCATAAACAGTGACTTAAACTGTAATTTCCTTCGAGAAAATAATTGCGTTTCGCCTTAAAGAAACTCCGATTTATCCACATGATTAAAAAAATTCATAATATACATTCATTTATATATGTATTATTCATAATATATATGTATTATTCTCCGTTATAGAAATCTTATTACATTCCTTATGATAGTCTAATAAATTAATTATGCATTTATTCTTTCCGCTCGAAATTCATAATTAAAATCGTAAGTAATAGCGATAAGAGAACGTCGTTTCTAAAGAAACGATAAGAGGATGTCGTTTCTAAACAAGTTTCTTGAGGAACAAGTTTCTCCGCTACATCCGACGCATAAAACGCGCAGATTGAACGCGACCTATTAACGAAATCGAGTCGGTTCCTTGACTGTAGCCGTGGATGCACTCAATGCCGAACCGCGTAAAGGAATTTGTGGTTCAAGTTGCTTTGCTATCCGAGATGGAGAAATCTTCCACCCTATAGCACCCAATCCAGCCCCTTTCCTTCGGCCTCACTCCCCCTCCGCGCCCACCCGCGCCAGTTTACTTCAGCCCTGATCATCCATGGCCCCGGTCACCCCAAGGCTAGTTTCTCCGTAGAACCCTTAAGCTCAACTATCCGCAGAAGTTGGAATCTGTACGTACCTATTCCACGACGGAGCTACAAACTCGCCCTACCCCCTCAGAAAGCGGCACCCCTCGTTCGTACTTGAATGCTCTCGGTACCGATTCGAGCTGTATTAGCGTTGCCGGAGAAGGGTTGAAGGGCCTAGGCAGCGGAGATAACCGGCCAAGACCGGAAAGTGAAACGAGACTCGGACCAGGTATTTTAAATGAATGAAAAACTGGAAGTCCTAATCTGTATCGAATTTATACGTAATATCTTGGAATTAATTGTCTGCCTTCTTCGAAATCGATTGTTATTTACAGTTTTCGACCATCGATACACAATATGTTCACAATGCATGTGTATTTTCGATTTAATTGAGTCGGCGACAAATATGTATGTATTATATTCTTGTCATACACGGTTAAATGTCTGGAACGGTGACCATTTAAATACACTCCCAAGGCGGTCCCCGAAGGAGTATCTAGCCGCACAAGTCTCGTATCTCGCGGGTCTTCGCAGCTTAAAGTTAATTAATATCGGACCTACGGCAGCGGGGATGAAGATCACGTGGAAATTGGCGGTCTCCGTGAAATTGCTGGATCGATGTAGCAATCGGCATCCATAATTTCACGACGACGTAAATTCCCGGCTCTGTAATTCAAACATACTCCATCCCCTACTCCTTCGTGGAACTTCTGACCGTCTTCGCCTCGTCGGACGTGATTTACCTAACGGAGTTTCCCCTCTCCTTCTTCCACGGCCCGATTCATTTCTTCCCTAATACGTCTCCAGAACTGGATCTCGATTCGCAAGATTTGCCCCCGGCAATCGTGTAGAATCAATATTACCCCAGCTTCCATTCGTCCCCCGCTTACTCACTCTCATAATATAGATTCGTTCGAATATTTTGATTTGTCGATAGAATCGATCTGTTTTCTATAAAAGAACTGCGAATAATAATAGCAACGAGTATACTAAGAACTTTTGTATTTTAATCTATTCGAAATGTATCTCCCATTAAAAACTTTTGTATTTTAATCTATTCGAAAATGTATCTACGAGGATTATTCGGATAACAACGTTCATGGAACGCGTAATTAAACTCGAGACTGCAAAGAGAGATAGAAGAAGTAAGTAGGTAGGGTACACGGTCGTCCCACCGGATGAACCGAAACAGGTTTGTCCCGTACACTGGGGGAATCTGGAGCATCAGAGACGTAGCCACGAACAGCCACGTGCTCCTTTGTTGGACTTACGCCCACCTCAGAACGCGGAAAGCCTCGCAGAAGGAGGATCTTGGTTAATCTTACTAATCTTCGCCGGTTGCTCCGACCTCGAAAGGAGAAACGGCGGAACGGCCGGTTGAAAACCACGGCCTAACGACATTACAGATCCCCCAATCAGCGCGAAGACCGGATAAAGGACGTACAACATGCTACGCTTAATTTCATTGAACCGTTTGAAGCGGACCTAACGTCTTTTCAGGTTGTAGTAACATCAAAGATCTTCATCTTTGATGCTTCCATCGCACCTGCTTTTAATTAAAGTGTTTACGAAGTAACCAAACGCTTTTTAATATTGAACAGACCAATCGATGTAAGATTGATCACAATTCAAATTGGCAGGAATCGATTCAGTATTTATCTCTTTGTTCTCCACTTTAGAACTTTAGAAGAATTTAAGGATGTATAGGCTGTATACTTAAACAATGCTAATGTTGAATTTATTATTACAGATTCCTATTACTATTAAAAATCTAAAATTATAGTGATTTCAAATTTTTTATAGGTAATAGTATCACCTACAACTTTTATTCGAAGTATTTGTCGAAA